AAGCTCTGTAAGGAGTGAGTTTATTATGTCACACCACTGTCGTCACTGTCAGAGACCATTCAGCCGTTCAGACAACAGAAACCGTCACGAGAAATATTCATGTTTGAACTCAAGAGATAACGAAAGCCATGAGTCATCTGCAACAGTGAACTTCCTACCATCTCTAGCTTAAGATTCTGAAACCTTCAGCCAAATGAGACCTATTCTATGCGAGGGAGTAGAAATGATCGATGCTTTCCGATTCAAGACACCTTGTAGCATTTTAATCGTGGGACCCTCTGCGTGTGGCAAGACTTGTTTCAGCAAGTCGTTAATCCTAGACCATTTAGATAAATTGTTTGTAAACCCTCCTACCGTGATTCATTACTGCTATGGCGCATGGCAAGATGGTTTCCGTGAGATTTCCCAAACATTCCCATCATCGCAATATCACCGTCATTTATTTGTGTCAAGACATCTTTCCACCTGGCAAAGATGCTAAAAATATTTCAAGGAATGCCCATTTTGTGATCGCTTTCAAGAACCCTCGAGATCAGTTGGGTCTGAAGAATTTATTATTGCAAGCATTTACTACGTGGTGGCAAGACGGGAGTGGGAGTGAACCGTAAAGTTATTCAACGCCCCTACGGATATCTGGCCTCAGAATTACATCCTGCCGGTGATAACAGTCGACGCGTGTTCAGTCACCTTTTCACACATGAAGGATGTATACGATTTTATCGTAGAAAAGTAAAAATTTAAACAAACCTTACACTAGTGCGAAATCATTTCAGAACAACCCCCGCCACGTACACATCGTAGGAAAAAACCTTTGTTTTATTGAATGACCATCATGACCGATAGTTCGCACGACAAAGATATCTTTGGTAACCCACTCGAAGACTATGACGACCAAGTGGAAAGAGAAGAGGAAGACGACCATGATGCGTCAGAGGATGACACTGGTAGTGACTCCGAGACAAAAGACGTGCAGAAAGGAAATTATGATGACGACGAAGTCGACGACAATGATGACAACTATGATAATGCTAATCCATGGGTAGAATTGACTGATCAAGTACAAGAATCTTTGAGCGAACTCTTCGATGAACAAGTTCAACTTTATCGACAACAGGGAAAATCCGATATTGTTCTATCGTTCTTAGGTGTGAACTCTATTGTTCCGGCGCTGTGATTGGTTATCCAGTATGGTAGCCCCCTAAATTACTGTCGTACACAGTTTTCGTTCTTGTTCCTTTCATCACGGTTACCTGCCGCAAATTGCCGTTCACCTCGATAACTAATGTCAGCGCGTAGCTCATGTCATAGCTGCCAGTCTTAACAGAATTATCTAGTATAAACACTGCCTTGTATTTGACTGAAATTAAAGTAAGCTAAATCAGCTGCGATCAATTCTGATAACCCTGTCAGTTCTCCCTTGGTATCGAACCTAAGAACTGTTCTGCTCGAATAGTTTCAAGCTGAAAAAAAGGAGCACCTTAAGTTTAAAGATTTTCCGTTGAGTACGAAAACTTTCCAGTCGAACTATGTGGATTGAGCTCGATTCAGTTTAAAAAATATCAAAAATACAAAGACTCACATGCTTACCTACATATGGCATTACGTAGATTTCTATCTTCAGGCAAGCTCTATTCTTGTAGGCTACTGGAAATATTCTGACATATTGACAAACCTTTCGCTCTGTCGCATTTTGGTAGGTAATTTCTTTAGCTGATTTGCCTGTGTAGAACTTCAGCTAAACCAGAAAAAATACGCTTTAAAGGAGACTAACTGTTAACAACTATTATGGCTCATCTTTAATAGCAAACGTCTTCTTTCAAAAAACGTAAAAATTCAAACAAGGAGTAGAGAAAGATGATGTTCGTCTTGTCTCGAGCGTGAAACAAGGAAAATTTTCTGAGTCCCCATGAGGAATCAAGCCTCAGACCCTCGGATTCCGCGCTCCAATGCTCCGATGTTCTACCACAGAGACTCTAAGGTGAGTGAGGTCTATTACGAAGTTCATATGACACGCGGCCTGTATTCTGCTTGGATTAGCAATGTCGATAGCGCCATGTTTGTAAAACGAATAAGAGATATGGTAAGTTTTTCGCTCGGTAAATAGATAGAAGAAGATGTTTTTCGTCTTGTCACGAAAAAGAACCCAAATGGTTATTGGCAATATAAAGCACACCTTGATATAATTCCACTCGTCCCCAATATTCTTTTCTGGTGATACTTAAACCACTTAAACCCTCTATTTTGTCACCCAAGCGGCGCCGCCCTTATCTTGGAGCAGCCCTTGACCTTGAGTCCGCAAACAAGATACGGACGACCCAGATTTACCTGAAAGTACGGGTTCTCGTCTTTGCTATCAGGGGACTACACGGAATCGGCCCTAAGTCGGTTACTCTTTGCGAGATGGTTCGGGTCTTCGCTCGAGGCACTCATGTGACTATCAGGGATCGTAGTTTTATGGCCACAAGCTAAGAATAAAAAAAAATAGTACAAGACTCGTTGGCCGAGAAAACGTTTTGATAAACCAACTATTTGTAATAGAACACATTAAGATTTAAAAAAAAAGTAAATTACTCTTGTATTCATCCGGAGAATGTAACAACAAGAAAAGAAAATAAATTAGAGCAGCAGCAGCATTTTGCGAGCTAAGATGAATGGAATGCCTAAATTTGGTTCCTAGTTCGGGGGCTTTTACCATCAATCGATAAAAATTTCATTGACGTTTGCCATCAACTGATTTGGGTTCGCTTGCTTATTCTATATACAGTTCATCGTCACACTTAGCGAATGGTGGCGAATAATCGGCGAAGTCGAAATGCTGAGTAGCGGTGACTTTTTACTCTTAAAACAGCAATATACAAAATTTCCTTCTCTCTAACCGAACTCAACAAAACATGAAGACTTACTTAAAATATCAGTTCCCTATAAGGTCCGTAGCTGAGGCCGGAGTGTGATCTGGTTTCGTAAAGATAAAACGACAAGGAGTACTACCTATTCTTTAAAATAGGATGATAATACACTGTTCAATCCATTGAGCGTTGCAAGATGTCCAACACAGTTCTCCAGTACCCACCTAATAATCCTGACTGAAGAGAGGCAGCACGAGAGGAAAGTGTATTGCTTGAAAGCTCAAAAAGATGCTCTAGCAAAGGCCCAGACAGATCTCTCGACCCGGAGTCGTGCGCGTTAAAATCTGTGCTCTTAACAATCTTTCTCAGTGAAGTAAGGGAGTCGGAAGTCCGTGAATTGGTGTGTAATGAATGTGGTGAATTGAATACAACGTTTTGGTAGGAAATAGAACCCTAGAAACGTCTCTGAGTTAAAAGAAAAACATGATGTAGTAACTTACAAGGTAAAGAAAGAAAAACACTAAACCTATCCTCCATGAAGGAAACTGCCCCAGAGGTTAACTTCATGCCAATCAGACGCAAGCTCAGAGTCTGATAATGATTTGCTACACGCAAGAGATTATAACCCCTTGCTAAATGTAACGAAGACACCACGTTAAGTCAAAGATACTACAGGGAGAAGGCAGGGGAATAATTGTTGCTCGAAATTTTACAATTAAGAAATTCAGGAACATTCTAACGTATGCCACGCCTGCTCACACAATGTGACCTCACAACCTAATGGATGTAGGTGACGTCACCCTCTTGCACGGTCGCCCCAAGTTCCCTTACCCCCAAGTGAAATTCCGTCGCTCCGAATTATAAGTTAAGTCGCCTCCAACTTTTGGTCTAAGTTTAAATTCAACGTATTGACGTAAGCAAGCTCTGAGTTAGGAACTTGCGCGAAGGATCTTCAGCCATTTTACTAAGCAGTAGAGGCATTGCTATTGTTGGTTGAAGGTATTGATACTTGGGCCGTCGGAACTCTAAGCTTGAAAACTTACGTCAAAATATGTCCAAACCCTTCTTTCACTCAGTGAATCACAAGATCAACGATGCAACTTTAAGTTGGGGCGAACCGGCCATATTTCGGGGCGACGGAACATCATCTGTCACCCACCCTAACCCTTAGTTCGTCCCAGCAAAATAACAAAAATTGTTCTTGAAATCTAAAGACAGTCAGGTTGAAAAATAACTTTATTGCTGAATCCACAAAAGGTGCAAAGTGAGAAACGTATCAATGTTTTAAGTATCTTTCATCTGAACAGCTGAGAGGGAAACACAGAAAACATAGAACACTTTATCAGCCTGGTTTGAGATGCTCAACGTCGCATCAGTTGCTAAAGACAGTCAGGTTGAAAAGAAACGTTTATGTTGGATCCAAGAAAGGTGCAAAGTGAGAAACATGTCAAAATTTTAAGAATCTGTCAGCAGAACAGTTGAGAGGGAAACAAAGAAGACAGAGAACACCTTATCAGCCTGGTTTGAGATGCTCACCGTCGCATCAGTTTCTGCAAGCAAATAACAAAACAGAAAAAAAAAGTCAGTTACAAGCATAACAGATTTATTCTATTTTTTAAGAGGTAATTGATAGGAATGCTTTACTCTTTGCTTCTCGTCTGAACGCTTATGTAGTCTCCCATACAATTTCTATCAGTACGTGTAGTAAGATCTAAAGCACTGCCTGATTATTTGTGGTGTATTTTGTACTTATTAAATTTTCGGCCTTTATTTCTTCATACCTCCTCCTCGTTTTTTGTTAAGCTTGTTCACGTTTTTTTTTTACATTTACACGTTTCTCAAACCGCATGTAGTTTTGCAGTCCTTTGGTATTTAAAGCCAGTTAATTTCACGCACAATCACTTTTTTAATTCAGTTTACCCTGAGTCGCGCTACGTAGACTTCCCAGTCTAGAAGTCTTCTTCAACCCAAAATTTATTCGCTTGCAGTTAGATATTATGCGTTATCGATGTAGCTATTTCATTCCTGAGCGCTAGCATTTTATAATCGGCACAACTTATTGGTAAGTGAACCTCGTGTAGTTCAATTTAAGGGTAACCGTGCTTGTTATATTAAATCAGCTTCGCGCTACGCGCTCAGCAAATTTTGCAATCACTCGCCCGTCTATTTACCAAATTGTACTCCACTTAGTCCTATAATCATTTCTAATAAAACAATGAACGTGCCATGCTCCGCCATTGTAGCAACTGCATTTTTTTTTGTTTATTTAACCGATGAGTTTTTCGTTTCTCGAATTTCTCAAAGTTTTGATTAATTGGTTACAGGACTTTGTGTTGTTCAATTCTATCTAGTCACAGTCGTGTTTCCAAAATCGGGCTTCCGCTTCGCGGTGATCCGATTTTATAAATCACTGGTTTGGTCACAGAGCACGTTGGACTCCAATTCTATGATTATTTTTATACTTCTTGCCTTCACAAAAGTATTTTCCATCGCCGGAATATCCGCTGGCACAGGCACAGTCGTAGCTACCTGCAGTGTTCACACATTCTGAGTTCTCCACGCATTTAGCCCCTTGCTCGCATTCGTTTATGTCTAAAGACAAAGGATGAATGTCATTATTCTACCAGTACGTTATTTGACCATATGAGGGCATCGGAACGCGGTAAATACGCCATGACGTTACACTGTAGAGCAGGGCACGGACGGAAGGTGGAAAAACAAAATGGCCGCACTGAACAATCCCAACTTGGTTTTATTTCATCTTTCAAGCTTAGGCCGAGTGCATCAGACTTTTAATTTTTGAAACTCATAAAAACCATTTCAGTGTTTTCATTTGTGTTTTAATGTGATTGATACTGTGTTCATCCAACTCCCCAAGATGTGTTTCAAACACTAGAAGCCAAGTCAGGACTTAAAAGTGAAACAAAAGTGGAATGATAAATCCCTCATGACATGACTCGTAGCTTTGTGCGCCCATTAGGGGCTCGGGGAAATACTACACAACTTGCAAATCTCTGAAACCATCGAACAAGGTGTATGTATTACACATCGAAAAGAGGTCAGGTGGTCGGACTGGGAGAGGGTCTTTTGCCTTGAACTCGGGGCATAAGGATATGTCCACAACCAGGGTATTATTTACTTTGAACAAAGAAGCAGGGAAGCTAAGGTCCATCAAAAGAATTGGTGATTAAAAATAGTGAGATAATTTGGGGTTATTTTGAAATAATGCATACCTTGACATTCTTTGTACGTCATGTTGAAGTTGTAGCCGTTATCACAGTGACATGTGTAACTTCCAATTTCATTTACGCATTCCCCGTTTTCACGGCACGGGTCATCGGTATCACACTCATTAATATCTACGATAACAAAAAAAATTAATTTAACGTTAAAAATCAATTTTTCTCTCTCGATTTTGCAGAATAATTGATCAGTAAACCTTGCTAAGTTAATTTTAAAAGGTTTCTTTTTAACAAACTGATATGCTGCCGTCTGTCGGTTCAATAACAGATCACAGGTAACATCAAAATGCGGTAGGAACATCAGTGACTCACGAGGCGTAGCTTGTGTTAATGTTTAATGATAACGTCATCTATGCGTCTGTTTACCAATAGATCATAAGTAAGAAACAATGAAAAGAGGCGTAGGATTCAGCTTATCATGTAAAACCATCCACTTGAAATCCATTATTTATGTTTTTCAAGACATCAAAGCGTCAGCGATATTCCAACAAAGCTGTCAGTGGCACTCTCATAAACGTAAATAACAATTTCATTGAGTTGGAGGAGTAAGGATGGGGGTTACTCTCTTGCCACAAGTTGTTCAACTTGCTCTGTTTAGCCCGTGGGTCAGCAGGAGAAGGAAATTCAGAGAAGTCAGTGTACTCACAGTCCTTTGTTTCGTTCCAGGGAATCCTCGACATATGATAGCAGATTACTCAGTTGCAATTCAGTGGTACGTAGAGCAATTTTCAATTGAGTGTCCAAAGTAATCCAGTATTCCACTAATTTTGCTTTACTTTGCTCTGATTGGCCCAGAAACTCGCACCACTCTCTCAACCAATCAGAAGCAAAACTATTACTAATCAGTGCGTTTTACCGTACTTTAGGCGCTTTGCTTGTTTTCACTTTGAATTCTAATTGGTTCCTCAAGATATTTTCCTTTCTGCTGAGTGGCAGTCGTAATAACGTGGGTTTTGGTTTTACGACACTCAACAGAAGACCGCTCAATATCTCAACAAAGGAAATCACAACCCAGCACTGACCCTCGCATTCTTCCTGATTTTCCTTGCTCAGATGGAAGCCTTCGGCACAAGAGCAGACATAAAACCCCACAGTGTTGGTGCAGTTATATCCATAACCGCAGTCTATTACTTCGCATTCATCGACATCTTAAAGCAAAAGTACAGATATGCTTTATGTTTATACTATACCAAAACAGAAGAGCCTATCGCAGAATTGGTACAGAAAACCGTGCGTCTTTAATAATTTTACGGTATATTGACAGAAATAACTTTACGGTATATTGACAGAAATAAACGAATGTTTTTTGTTCTTGTGTGGTATATACTCAAACAATTATTCACATCAGTGTCGATGAAAGAGTCTCAATTGAGTGATGGCTTTTACGGCAAAGGGGTTAAAAGTTTGGTTATTTTGTACAGCTGACAGTGACGAAAAATGACCCATTAACGATGGGAAAATTTAAGGGCTACCTTTTGTTATGACTAACAGTTAGAATTTTTCAAATACCATTAGCTAATTTTTTAGCTGTTTTACGGATCACCCCTTTGAGACCTTTGTAAAAGTGGCGGATTTTTACCTACACCTAAGTGGATAATTTCTATCTATCACTGAGATTATGACAGCTTTCCTTTTCTGATCAAGAATCGCATTTCTTTCTCTCATTCTCAGCTTAATAGAATGACCATTTTACCTTCGCATTTTTCAGATGGAGGATTTCCGTAGAATCCGCTCTTACAGTTGCACCAGAATGATCCTTTGTTGTTCACACATACCGCATTTTCACCACACACATTTTCAGTTTTACATTCGTCGATATCTTCAAGCAAAGTTAGATATTTGAACACGGTACACAAATAAGACTACTTTTCCTTCGTTTGAAAGGGGTAAGTTTCTTCAGAAACTGCGGTACTGCGTCGCTAGAGAGTATTACAAGCAGCAAAGAGATCCTAGAGCCGACGTTTCGATTGTTAGCCCTAGGTCAATGCAAATAGAGGAATTGTGGGTTGTGTATGGTTTATAAATAGAAAAATCAAGCTACAATATTGGTGAGAACTTAGCAAAGTGAAAAACGCAAGAATAAACTTGCTAAATATTGAAATGTCTTCATTGATACCGTAGGTGCACCGAATTGAAAGATAAATTTCGTTCTAGCGTTTCACGGCATTGCGATCCGCTGCCTAGATATAGGGAAGATCTGCAGGCTTCCATTTCTTGTTTAGAGTGATTTAGGAGATTATTCTCCGAAATTACTACAATTTACATTATCAAATCATTTGATGAGACAAAATTACTTTGTCCTTTTTGATCATACGACCAGACTAAAAAGCTCTGATTGGAGATCCAGGTTTAGCATCCGAGAATAACATTTCCAAGAAAACTAAGCGAGTAGTTAAGCTCCTACTAAAGTGGAGATCAAAAGTCTTGTGGCACTTGACGTGTCGAATTACTCCTCGTCTCTCCCCTTGACAATGTTTAATTTTGTGCGCTTCAAATACTTTACCAAGACGTGGTGACTGTTTATTGTTACCAACGTTGTTAGAGAGTTGGGGGGAGGTTCTGTGTACACGCCTAAATTGGCAAAAAGTAGTCTTTTTAATCAGAAAACACTAAACGCTAAACTTCATTAATTACCAAAACATGACGAGCCATTTCCTAGGAATCCTTTCTTGCAAGTACATGAGTAACTTCCTTGAATGTTTTTACACTCTGCACCTTTATCGCATACATCATTCTTGCATTCGTCGATATCTAAAGAAAAAAAACCTTGGTTTGACTTTTGCCTGTTGAACAGCATGTTCATAACGATTTAGATTTACGCAAGGGCTTATTTAGATTTCTTTTAAATTGAATATATAATCCATAATTATGAAGTGTACTGTGTTTGACCCTTGAACCCTCAAGAATGACCAGCATCTAATTTCTCCAAACAGTGTCACAACTTAATTAACCATTGAGATGATAAAAGTAAAGAAAATATTCTCCACGCAAAAAGGCAGCTCTTGATAGTTTAAAATTCTCTTTGTCAAAAATTTAGGAAATGTATAGAGAAAAAAAGGCTTAATTTCAAGGTGCAAATAAACATTTTAATGCCAATCGTGTTCGTTATATCATATCAGCCTCGCGCTACACGCTCAGCCAAATTTTCAATCACTCGCCCGTTTATTTCTCAAATTGTACTCCACTTCGTTCTATAACCATTACTAATAGGACAGTGAACGTGCCATGCTTTTAATTGTAGCGGAGTGCGCGTCATAGCGACCATCTGTTAATTTTACTGAAATTAAAAGTAGCTGCATTGTTTTTGTTTTATTTAACCGATGAGTTTTTCGTTTCTCGAATTTCTCAAAGTTTTGATTATTTTTTTACAGGACTTTGTGCTGTTCAATTCTATCTGATCATAGTCGTGTTTCCAAAATCGGGCTCCTGCTTCGCATGGATCCGATTTTATGAATCACTGCTTTGATTGCAGACCAAATTTGACTCCAAGTCTATGTTCATTTTTATACTTCTTGCCTTCACAAAGGTTTCCATCGCCGGAATATCCGCTGGCACAGGCACAGTCGTAGCTACCTACGGTGTTCACACATTCTGAGTTCTCCCGCTTGCATTCAGCCCCTTGCTCGCATTCATTTATGTCTAAAGACAAAGGATGAAGGTCATTATT